TTTATTTAATAATAAAAACTTTGATTCGTTGAATGATCGACATTAAATTTCCGGTAATATATTGTAGGGGTGTGTATTTCTCTAAAGTTATTATAATATAAAATTAACAAAGAAAATATTATAAATAAAATTTTGTAATACAAATTTAATAAATTTATACTTATCAATTATAATTAACCAGTAAAAATATTTTAAAATATTAAAAACTCTTTTTATTTAATAAGTTAATATACTTATATTACTTCTATTATTATTTATATTATATAATATAATAATTATCTTTATTATTAAGATTAAATACAAATAATAATTTTATATTTATCTTAATTCTCAATAATTATAAAAGATAAAAGTACTTTTTTATTTTTTATTTATTTTAAAACAAAAATTTTTATATTATAATATTAATAATAAAATATATTGTTTTATTTTTAACTTAATTATATTAATTAATTTGAAATAAATTATAAATTATTATTTTTATATAATTTAATATTATTTATTTAAATATTTATTTTATATATAAATTTTTACTTGTTTTTTATATATATTAAAAGTAAATTTATTTATATTATTAAATAATATTAATATTTTTATAATAAGTACTATAAAATTTAATATATATATTATTAGTGAACTAAAAATCTAAGATTCATTATTTTATCTTAAATTATAATTATATTAATTATTATCAAATAATTTATTTTTTTCATATTTCTAATTATTATTATAATTATAATAATTTATATTAATCAAATATACTTTTGCATAATAAATTAGAAATTTATTATATCTCTTTAAAATTCACTAAACTATAATTTTTTTATAATATTAATAATAATTATAATATTAGTAATAGTTATAATATTAACAATAATTATTATCTAAAAATTCTTTTTTTTATATAATTATAAATCATTCTATGAGTTATATATTACTAAATTCATAATTTTAATATTATCTTGTATTAATATATATAATTTTGTAAGTACAGTTAAATTTTCTATAATTATATTTATTTATAATTATATTTCTCTGTATTTATATTACTTATTTTTTTATTTACATATAAATATAGTAAAAAAAACTTTTATATTTATATTTTCTCAATAATTATTAAATTTTGCATTTCTAAGAGTAATAATTATAAAGAAATTTGATTATATTATAATATTAAAGTCTATATAAATTATAATTTATATATACTATTAATATATTCAATACTATTAATTAGTATAAATGAATTTATTAATCTCATAATTATAATATAATGAGTATTATTATAATAGTAATAATAATTCAATAATTTTTAAAAATAGTTAAAAAACAAGAATCTTTAAAAATAGTAAAAAATAAAAGATAGCAAAAATAATTTATTTCTTTTTATTTTATTATTTATTTTATTATTTTCTTATTATTTATTTTCTTATTTATTATTTTTTATTATTTATCTTATTATTTTATTATTTTTTATTATTTAAATATTTCTTATTTTTTATTATTTATTTTATTATTTATTTTATTATTTGTTATTTTTCATTATTTATCTTATTATTTATTTTTTTAAATAGTTATATTTGAAATTTAAAATTATAATTTTGAAAATATATAAATAAAAATGTTATTTGAGTTTTAACTTAACATATTACAAATAAAAAATAAAATTATCTCTTAACAAAAATCTTTTTTTAAATAATATTTGTTTTATTTATTTTTATTATACATATTAAAACTTATATATAAATAATTTTGAATTATATTATATCAATAAAATGCTGACAAATTTATATTATATTATATTAAACAAATTACTATTTTTGATTTTAGATTATATTATGTTAAATAAATTGTTATTATTGAATTATTAGTTTTATATTATATTGCGTTAAATAAATTACTATATTAAATTTAATAAGTAGTTTATTTTATTATTTGAATTTGTTATTAAATATTTCTTACTAATGAAAATAATAAAGTAAAAAAATCTTTGTTATCAATTATTACTAATAATATTTTTTAGTTTTATAATATTATATACAAATTCTCTTTATTATTTTTTTTTAAATTATTATATTCTTTTTTCTCTTTTTAATCTTTATTCTCCCATGTTTCTTTTATATTATTATTCTTTCTTAAGTAAATATAATTTCATAGAAAACTTAAATACTCTTTTTTTTAAATATTTGTTTATTAGTTTAATATTTTTTTTTAATTTAGATTTAGATTTATAAGTTAATTTAATAATTAATAAATAACTTATAATAATATAATGATAGTAAAATAATTAGTAATAATAATTAATAATAGTAATATTAGTAATATTAGTGACAAAGAAAATAAAGTAAATTTTATAATATTAATCAAAAATTTATTATATTAAATAATTTAGTAAAAATAAAGATATTGTTAATCTAATAAATAATAAATATATTTATTTTTAAATTTATTATCTACTATAACTTAATAATTTTTGTTAATTATTTTTATACTTTATTATTTAGTAAATGAATTTAAATATTATTTTTATACTTATAACTTTTCTTATTGTGTAAAAGGAAATATTGATAAATATATCTATTTTTTGAATTTGTTATCTATTATAACTTATTAATTGTTTTGATATATTATAATTTAGCAAATTAATTTTAAGTAATTTTTTTATACTTATAACTATTCTCTCATTGTGTAAGAGAAAATATTGATAATATTTATTTTTTGAATTTGTTATTTACTATTAACTTAATGACTATTATTAATTACTTTTATATTTTATTATTTAATAAGTTAATTTTAAAGTGATTATTTTATACTTATAATTACTTTTTATTATATAAGAAAAAATATTAATAATTATATTTATTTTTGAATTTGTTATTAATTATATATTATTAATATTTTTATAAAATTTAAATTATTTATATATTATTTATATATTTTTATTAATTTATAATAAAAAACTAAGTTTTTATATTAGAATAAACTAACATATTTATATTGTAATAAGCTAAAATAATATTTAATAATTTTACTATTTTATTTCAGAATTCAAAAATTATAATACAAAATAATAAGTTTTTTAAGTAATTATTTTTTAAGTTAATAATAATAATTTATTATAAGTAATTTATTTTTTAAAATCAAAAATTAATACAAATAAAATTATATAAGTTATTCTGAAGTTATAATTTATATAAATATATTTTATAATTTAACTTAAAATTAATAAGTTTATATATTGTATAATATTATTAATTTTATTATTATTAGTATTAACTTCTAGATTTATAATTTTTATTATTATTAATTTACTTAAACATGAATATTATCAGTATTCTTAATATTAATACAAGTATTAATATTATTATTATTATTATTATTACAAATATTAATATTATTATTATTACAAATATTAATATTATTATTATTAATATAAATATTATTAGTATTAATATAAGATTAAGAATTAATAATATCTAAGATATTAATATCTTAATTAAAAATAACTATTCAATAAGAATATTAATAATTATAATTCAATAAATTATAAAATTTTATTATTCAATGAAATTATTTATTAAATATTATATTATAACAATATTAACTTGTTAATTACTTTTAGACTTAATTATTTAACAAGATAATTCTAAAAAATAATTTTGTCATACTTGTAACTGTTCTTTCAATTATATAAGAGAAAATATTAATAAATATATTTATTTTTTTGAATTTGTTATCTATTACTAATTTGATGATTATTTTTATACTTTATTATTCAATAAGTTAATTATAAAAAATAATTTTTTTTGTGCTTGTAATTATTTCTTGTTGTTAAAAAAATATTAATGAATATATTTATTTTCTAGATTTATTATCTACTATAACTTGATAATTATTATTTATTATTTATTTTATTATTCAAAGAGTTAATTCTAAAAAGTAATTTTTTTTGTGCTTATATATTTTCTTGGTTATATAAAAAAATGCTATTTATTTAGATTTATTATTTTGATTGAATATTAAATATTTATATTATTATAAATAAGAAAATATTCAAATTCTCTATATAATACATATACATATATAATTTGGCTAAATATTTTAGTTAAAACTACTAGAAATTTTAAAGCTAAATCAAATTTGATGAGTTAATAAATATTGATATAAGTACATAACCAATTTCTCAGAAAGTTCAATTAATTCCAAAATATATGATTATCTTTATCATTATTATTATTATCTCTATTATACTCAATCTGAGTCCAATTTATATAACTAAATTTAATCCAAAATATATTGATTTTATTGACTTGTTTTAGAGAAATAACTTTAGATTTTTAAGTAATTAATAAAGTAAAAAAATATGGCTAAAAATTGAAAAGTTCAGAGTTTACAAAAAGAATAAAATGATAAAATGAATAGATATTGATACAACACACAAAAAAAAAGAAAATCACTATTTAAAATGGTAATTTTTCCTTTTTTGTGTGGTGATTTATTCTCACTTTATTAGTAAATAAAGAAAGCAATTTAATTGCTTTCTCTATTAAACTAATAAAGATGAGGATAATAATAATGATGTAAAGAGAAAAAGAAGGGAGAAAATAATGATTGGTGATGCTGGTGATGTCGATAATGTTGGTAATAATATCAGTGAATTTGATGTTAATGGTGGTGGTTTTCGTGATGATGATGGTGGTGGTGATAATGATGATGTTAACGATGATAATATTTTTCTTCTTCTGAATGTTTTGGATGGTGTTAATAATGATATTTTTCTTTTACGTGATGATAATAATGATGATAATTAAATTGATGATATTGATGGTAATATCAATGATGTTTGTGATGCAGGCATAACGAATTTTTGTTGATTTTTACAGGCAGATAGCCAACAGTTGAATTATAATTCAGTTTCCAGTAATGATGATTGTAATAAAGATAATGAGTTAATCAAATGTTGAATGTTTGATTCAATAATTGCTAATTCTGCTGGTAAATGAATGGATGATGTTCTTTTAGATGGTCCAAAAATAACCTCAACCATTGCATCTTCTAAATCTTTCGATGACGTTTCCTCTGATGGCGATGATGCTAGAAACCTTCTTTTTTTTTGATTTTCTATTATTATCATTTTTGTTATTGTTGTTGTTGTTATTTCTAGTATTATTATAGTTGATAAGCTTGTTTGAAATAATCAGGATTTTAATATTCTTAATATCATGCGAAAGTGACCTTTAATAAAGTAAAATAATTAATAAATTTTTTTAATTATATTAAAAAACAAAGGTATCTAAAAGAAAAAGAAGTGAGAGAACAAGCTATTTCACGCCATTTTTGCAAGTCATTCGAACCTATTTTATGACGCGTTTTTCTCTCCTCGTTCTCCCTTACGGTCAAAAGATAATAACAAAAGATATTAAATCTTCAGAATAAAATTCAAAGTGAGTCAAGTTATGACTCACCCTCACGTGCCTACAAATCAATAAGAACGTGCGAGTAAATTTTCTACTGCCGGGTAACGAATTTTTGATCAACCCGGCAAAATAAATCTGAAAAATACGGAAAATTGACTAATAACAAATGTCGGGATGATTTTATATATGATCGCCGACTCCTAACGCTAACCATAAAATAACACACTTTTAAAATTTGAATACTCATGATTTATCACTTTTACAATTTAATAAAAGTATTGTTATATTTTTCAAATAAATCTGTTTGTACGATTTAATCTGTGTTGAACTAATTACGTAATTCAAAGAAAATTACATCAGATTTATAAATGAACAATTCCTAAAATGCCTTTTTGTTCTACATGTAATATCATTATTATTCAATAACAGCGATAGATACTGACTGGTGTACCATACGGCGGCATTGACTACAGTACCCGGGTATTATTCCAGAAACATCCAGATTTATTGAATAGTACTTTCCCGGATACTGTAATACTGTGACGGGACAAATTAACATATCGATATATACCCAAGTACTATACATAATAAAATACATGTATTTATATTATATAATCCCATACTAAGTGTCATTCATGACTACATTCATCGTACGTGATTAACTATATTTATAATGAGCATATTATCTTCATTTAAGAACTAGGAAAATTAATTCTATTTGAATTCTCATTGATATGGTGCACCATCTAAAGTCATCAAACATTTATTTTTTATAAAATGTATAAACTTCTCAACTAAGAAGAAATTCAAAATTTAATCCGTAAATATGGTAGAATAAGTCTTATAGATGTCGTATCACAAGTTACTTGTTATGACTTCATTTACATTCATATGTTGCAATCTCGTACATAACCATCTCAAACCGATAAATATCTGCATGATTTCCCCCGGACTAACATAAGAATTTCACAAAGTTTTTGATTTGTCTTATTCAAATTAGCTGGGCTGGTAAGTCCAAATTCAACAATTTAAAATAATTCCACATTAATATACTGTATTTCCAGTAATGTTTTCAGTATGATGCACAAATTCCTCTTTGTGAGTTTTATTCAACCCTACGATAATATTTCGAAAAAAAGGTAAAATTAATCCGCGAATATGATATAATAGGCCTTTCTGAGCATATTGACGGATTAAATTTTATATTTACTTCATACATTTTATAAAATACAAACGTTTGGTGACTTTACATACTTAGAGAAAAAGAAAACTTTGCAAAAGCTCGAATAATTGGACAAAAATCAATCACAGTAAAATTCAAAAAGTATACCTTCGTGTTCAAACCAAATTTTGACTAAAATTAGCTATTTGATAATAAGACAATAATTGGACAAAAAAGTAAAAAATAAAAAAATAAGTTCTCAAATTTTGTTTGCTTCATAAATTTATCGGATGTCTAATACCGCTCCTAAAAGGGAATATCCAATATTCTCAATTCATTATCATCAGTTGTTATTTCATAAGTTCCTATTGCTGTGCCTGTAAACCAAACTTTTAAATTTTCCAAGATCATTGGTGCGTAGGAAGTGAATCAATGATATAATGGAATAAATAGTTGATTTATGCTTCAGGGATTTCGAAAATAAATTTATTGATAAGCATCAAAAAAAATTTTAATTTTTCATACAAAATTACATTTATAATATTCAAAAAATTTTTTGTTACCTTTCAAGAAAATAGGTTGTTATATAATGTTACTGTTTGTTATTGCAAAAAAACTCAAAAATCTCACGAAGGTCCCCCAACGCCATCTCCTACAAGCTCTTGTGCAGTGTGAAGGAGATTGTGCATAGCCCTGTACCAACAGTGGGATGCGTTTCGTCTAAGGTTATAATATTGCGAATTTGATATTTATATCAAAAATAGGAATATTTGGATTTCACTCGATAATAACGATAATGTGCAAATTTTTGATCGACCCGGCAAAACAAATACCGATGCAAGCAAATGAAAAGCGTGAAAGTGCTAAATTCAACTTGATACACTAATTAAAAATGTCGGCAAGACAACTTCACATAATCTTGACTCTAATCCTAACCAGACCCTAACCTTAAATAATCTATTTAACGTTAATTAACATTAACCGGCTGCACAAAGTGCATGGGAGCACCATTTAAATTTTCCTTAGAATTTATATATTTATGAATCGTAAAATTTTTTATTATCATTGTTTTTGCATTATATTCTATAGCGATTGGCGGTAGCGGAATGACATTAGCACTTGAGCTTTTACATCTTTCGACCAACTACAAATTTCAAAAGGAACGATATCAACTGTACTATTTATAAAACTTATATGATAACGATAATAGCATTTTGTATGTGTTTCTTGATAAACTTGTTTGTTTGTAAATGTAATTATAATATACGAGACTACATTGAAATTATCATCGTCCTTCAAAACCAATCAGAGTTAGAACTTCCATTCTTCTACTCTATTGAGAATTCAAGACCACAAGAAGCATCCAATTTGACTGGAGCCTTTTCTAATTATTTATTGTCGACAAAAAATTAATTAATGGAAGAACCATAGTTGTCAGAAACGCGAAGTAAAACTTGTTTTCAAGTGAAAGAAAATGGTTATAAAAAAGATGCAACATTTGAGTGAGAGTTGGAAGTCGACGAAAATAACTAAATTAATATGCTAAACCTTCAGTCAAATCACATGACATACAAATTTATACATGTACATATATAGCGATAGTATTATTTGGAAAAATTTGCGACATAAATTTATATATAGCGTTATCACTGTAATTATTGCCACACAAAATTATTAGATACTACTGACCCTCAAATCCGAGGTCCAAAAGCTAAATTATTTGGATTTTGACCGTAATTTTGATTACGATTTTCTGTAACGATATATTGATTAGTATCCGTTACCTGAGGAGTAGGCCATCCAGCGTTCTGATGTGGGTAATGTTGATCATAAGGTGGGTTATAAAGTGGTTGGTTATAAGTTTGTGGGTTATAATTTGGGTTGAAACTTGGGGTGGGAGTTGTGGTGAGAGGTGGGAAAGTTGGGGTGGGAGGTGGGAAAGTTGGGGTGGACGGTGGGGGAGGTCTTCGCCTGCACAATAAGTAGGTTATGAAACCCGTAATCAAAATCACAGTCGATACGACTGCAGAAATAATAATTATATTTTTTTTCTTGTTGTTATCGTTATTACTGGATGTTGGTGTGCTTAAGTCGTGCATTCCATATCGATCCACCCATGTATAATTTCTCTGTAAATCCAAGACATTGATAACTCTTCTATTAGGATTTTTGGTCTTAAAAGATCCTTGAATTTTGAAATAAAAATTAATATTCATTATTTAACGTTTAATTATATGTAGTTTGATAAAATAATTACCTAGACATACAACCATAAAATCATTATATATAACGGCTGTAGGATAAATCGCTACATCGTTAATGCTAGGCTTGTTTTTAGCTATAATCTCTGAAAATTCGAATGTTCGCAAGTCTAAGGTAATCAAATAATCATCCGGAATGCCTGAAGCATTTGATTTTGAGCCACCATATAAGATAATGCTTTGATTATTGGGCGCTATTAACAGATATGATTTATAAAAGTTTATATGGCAATTCAAATTTATTATTAAAAAGATTTTTCTTACCAAGAACGGCTGCGTGAGAATAGCGGTTACTTATATATGTATTATTTGTTGCTTTCTTTTATTTAACTAAAATTATTAATGAATCAATATTCGAGTAATTGCAAATCTAACTGATTCACTTACTTTTAAATCCCATGGATTATTTTGATTGAGAGTATCATATATGATAATCTTTAAAAGAATAGTTTTAAATATTGCATTTTTTTAAATATTTAAATAATTGTTCAATAAATGTAATACCTCGCGAATATCGACACAGTTACGATCAGGGGATTTAGCAAAAACGCCACCAACATAATAAATTTTGTTATCCCTAAAAGTCACTGAATAACCTGATCTTTGCGCAGGAACATAAGAAGTGGCTGGGAGAATTGAGTTCCACGTTGAGTTAACTGTGTCAAATATGTACATGGCTTGATCTGTTGTAGCAGTTTCTCCTCCCCAGATATAAAGATTTCCTTTGTCATCAAAAATCGAATTAGCATTGCAGCGTGGTTTTGGTAAAATACTTCCGGATTGAACAAGCGAAATTGTATAAGACGCCATATTAATCTCATAGAAGTCGTCTACGATATTCCCTACATCCCAATTATTAACTTTCGCCGGCTATTAGTTATATATAAAAAATTAATTCATTAATTAAATAATTAATTAGTAAAGCATTCGTTGTACACTTTCACTTACAATCAGTCCACCAAAAGCATATATTAACGTGCGATTGCTCGTTTCAAACGCACTAAAAGCAGCATAGTTAAACGTCGGCCCATTGGATATATTATCAATTTTTGTGAAAGCTGGTGTTGATGTGGTCCAATTTACAGAAAGATCCAAGGCAAAAGCATTCGTATTATTAATAATGCCAAAGTCAGCACTATCAAAGAATATAATTTTGTCGTCAACTAATATTCCATGTTCTGCTTTTGTTAAACTATTAGGCGCGAATGATGATTGCGCATTTATTGTTGGAATATAGAAAATTAAATATAAACAAATTAATGAGAATAAGAACATGTTTTTATTTTTTATTTTATTGGATTTATCGTTATGAGCTGTTGGAAATATCAATCGAGAAAAGACATCAACCAGTAAGTTGCACCATCTGTAATTATCTAAATGAATCCAAAAATAAATTACTACGTAGTGTAGCTCATTGATGTACATGTAGTTCCAAAAGTATACCAATAAAGAGCTATTGATGTGTGCGATATTTAATTTTAACTTCTTGTTAAACTCTAATAATGACCAGTTATTTTTAGAAAGATGATACACAAGAATAACGATAACATGTTCCGTAGTACAGCATTATCAGTCCGGCAAAACAAACCCGACACAAAGAAAATGAAAAATGTGAAAAATACAGGAAATGCATGTTAAAGCTAGTTTAAAGCACTAATAAAAAATGTTTGGGAGACAGTTTTACATATAACCTTAACGTTAACCTCAAACCTAACCTTAATACAAGCGGAAAAAATTTATTTCGATCTATTATTTAAAACAGATTCTTATATACAAAACTTGAGCAATATAAAAGTTTGATGACTTTAGATTGTGTGCAAACTTATAGAACATTGCAAATATTTAAATCATTTAAGTCGAAAAATTATTTTTAATATCAATTTTTTTCATGCACATAATAAAAAAAATGATAGTGTGCATGTCATTATCAATCATATATCGATGATAATGATAACGTCATATGAATTATCATAACAGTCATAATCGTTAGTTTTGCCATTATTTAAACTTAGGGCTGTTAAAAGTCTCATGTGAGTCGGTCTTTGAATTGTCTTTTGCTGAGTTGCTTTTGAGTCTGAGTTTAGGCTCGAAGGGACCGTCTCCCAATAGTCACATGATAGATTAGATGCTAGATTGGAGCAATCATATATATATATATGCGAATTGTTTTTCAAGAACAAACGAATTGATATAATGACGCTGCTTTCATAATGAACGCAAACAAAAGGCATTCGGCAAGATTATTTTTTTATCATAACTTTTGAAGTTAATAATTTTAACGATAACGATCATTGCCAAAACGGTTCAACAAAAACCTCTGGGAAACAAAAGGCATTCGGTAAATTAGATAAGATTATTTATTTTATCATAACATTGTCAAGACAAACCTCTGAAAGAAAATGGTTAGTATCAATAAAGCAGTTGTGTTTAAGAATTTTGAACTATAAAAGTATCCTACCTTTTTCCCCTGTTTCTTTGTGTCAAAATGTCTAATTTCAGCTCGTCAATTCCCACATCTTCCGCAAGCTCACCAGACTTTTAACAAACCTATTTAAACTATAACATCTATGTTTATATATAGCACAGCATATAATCACTATTCTGAAATTTCGTGGTTGTAGCAAATGAATAATATCTACTGTGATTTAAATATACTAGCAAGAAATGATCTAATTATTGTTATCACTATAGTGATCCGGCAAGCGGGAAAGGTAGTCAATATTTCACTTAGCGTTAGAACCAATCGATCCATCTACATGTAATAATTTCATGAACCAATCATATCTGCAAAATATTTACATGTACTTGAAGCTTTACGTTTAATAACGATAACCCTAATCCTAAACCATACAGTATTATATAGTACAAAATATTCATATTCTTATCAGTAGATTGGACAGGTCGATAATTTATTATTGAATAGGCAGGCTAAGAATTTTTACTCGATCCATATCACTATATCACTATTAATTAATGCCAAGGATGCAAAATACATGTCATCAAATTAACGGAATTCATCTGGTTAGATATAATCAAACCAAATAAAAAGAAGAAAACGGAGAAAGACGAGACCCTGATGAACCAAGCAAAGACGGAGGTGAGAAGAATATTATTTGGAAATAACGACTATTACAATTCCGATTAATGGTCAACGGGTTCAATTATAAACCAGAAAAAATTAAATACGGAAATATATTTAAAATACCAATATTGACCAAATTTCAATAATAAGAGCCGAAAAAAACAGAACAAAAAACACGACTGATATACGTAAAGCTCAGCAAAATTATAATTTTTTGTAACAAAAGAACCCGCGTAGCAATAACAGGAACAAATACGGTAGAAGAAAGGGTATACAACCCTTCGAAAATTTCAAGATATGAAAAAAGTAATAAGGCTTTAAAAAGAGAAACCTTTGAACAAAGATTCTTCGAACAAAACAACAAAGGGGAGTTTTTTCGACTACCTACAGAACCAAGACAGCTTCTACGAAAAAACCATTTTCAAAACGAATGAAAATCGTCCAAATAATAACACACATAACAACTACGTATAAAGGTCGTTCCCGTATTTATCAATAATCAACTTATTTATCAAGAAATAGAAGGAAGCGTTTATCAAACACTGCTATTTATTATATAAAAAATAATAGTCTCATTCTAGAACGAATATTTGGGAAGGAAGCGTTTATCAAACACTGCTATTTATTATATAAAAAATAATAGTCTCATTCTAGAACGAATATTTGGGATGAGGTTGATAAATTGTCAGAAAATTATCACATTTCAGGCACGGCATATATACAAGAGAAACAACAGTGCAACCAATCTTTCAAGTCAATGAACAAAATAATCCTTGATGGAGGAATCGGTGTGGGGAAAAGCACGATGGCAAAATAATAAGGTATACTTGGAACACCCTGGGCGTAAGTGGTTTATTGTAAGATTATTAACGTTTGATATTAAAACTAATAAAAAAATTGCTTTAATGGTAGCGAAAACCGGAAATCTCTGAACAAACTGGAATTGTTGCTCCTTACTTTATTAATAGCGGACCTATTAGCACCAATAATTACCATTAAATTTCTTTAAACCTGCTAACAAAAAAAGGGTAAAACTCTGAACTGTTTATAATAAATAAGGGAGAGTAAGCATTCATATATGAGCTTCGTCACTACTACGATAATAACAGCAACAGTAACTCCACCGTAAATAATACTATCACCGAAACATCACCAAGTGAAGTCGTTACAAGCCTTAGAATAACCATATTGATTATAATATTATTCTTCATTACATTATATTCTTCCAGAAAAAAACAAAGCACCACAACGTTACACCATTCGATGAGCATTCTTTAATATCGATACCAGTAACTATTACTCTAATAAATAACCAAACTATTACCATCACCTGACAAATAACAACTCTTATCTCATTTGTAACAATACTGTAACTATTGCACCAAATAACGGCTTCTTTTTACCATACGTAACTGTAGGACTAATATGCGGTGGTATTACAGTTCCTATTTCGGTGTTATAGAATAAGGCCAGAATACGTCAACAAAAAAATCGACAGACTTGACAAACTTTATAAACAAAAGGAGTTGTTAAAAAAGACTGGTATGTCATTTGATTTCACGAAACAACGAAGAAAAATCAATGCTTATTTGCAAAAGAAACGGGTGGGGCATCAAAAAGATCGCTCAAAATTTATGAGTTTGGAAACACACGTAAACCACCTCATAATACACAGTGAAACAACAATAAAAAGAATAACAGAAATATACTTACAACCAGACTGCCTGCCGGAACTACAGAATAACTTGACCAGGTGCAAAATAATAAAAATACAGCGCAAAATCGATGCTGATCCTTCAGAAAGCCTTATATAATGACAGATCCAAAACAAAATACATGCACCTTCCCTCGAAAAATGGCCAAAATAATCATATAATTCGTTGGGGAGGAAATAAAATATTCCTCGTGGCGAAAACATGTAATCTCTGCGATAACATCTGTCTGGAGCGAAGTCTCGTATTTAGGAACACCAAGAATTCGGGTACGAATTCGTGAAAAATGCATCCTGCTAATGATGGTACATCTATTTCCGGTTCACCAAGTACCTTTATTCTGCTCTTGTTCCTATCTCAATCTTTTATTAACAGAGACATTGCGACAATTTTTTCCGTTTACTAGATGTGTTCATTATATTTGGTCATTTCAAATGAGAAAAACACGCCTGCGTTAACGAGCGTTCATGGAATAGAGGATGCGTGTGAAAAAGAATCAGATATTAGTTAATATTCTAGGGAATGGCAAAATCTCGGGTGTTAATATAATATCACGTGCATGTGTTAAGTGAAATCTCAGGAGGGATCCCCGTAAGATATTAGCTAATAATCATTGAGCATTGCACAGTACTGTCATAATTTGGCGGGTTAATCGACACCCATGTGATGAGAATATACATGTACATGTACGTACACGTAACACTGGGGTGTGAGATATTTCTGTGTAGATCCAATCTACATGTATTTGAGATAGGGATAGGAATCGATTCTCAACCCAGAATCGATTCTAAAATCGATTAATAATTTCGATTAATCGTTTGATTAATCGATTTCGTTCATGTTTCCCACATCTGAAAATAGACATTCAGATGGAACTGCTGTGGCAGGAATTGTCAAATATTTGCGTGCAAGTTGTGAAAGAATTGAATAGAGATAAGAATCGATTTTCAACCAAAATCGATTCTCGAGCACAAAGTACAACGATGATGACGACGACGACAGCAATAACGACGATGTTCATAACTGGTCTTTGGGTTTGTTTTCAATTGCATGTTGATTTTTTTCCCTTTTCGTTGGAATAGTTGAAGTTGTACTTTGATTATTTCTTTTATTTTATGAGATTGGTAGGTTCTGTCAGATCTTCGGTATCGATATTCGCTTTATTCGATGTTGCGTAATTTCCCTAATATTCTAAACTTATTAAATCTTGAATAAAATTATTGAAAAAAATGTAAACTATACCTTATCAAAATCATGACGACATCGATTAATGGAGCAACATTGATGTCGATATTGATACTATTAGTTGAATAATTAGACATATCCATTTTACTAGCGCTAGATGATGTGTAGCTTTCCTAATATTTAAAAAAACTATATTAGACTGTAGCGATAATGGTAGTTTGTGAAGAAACAACCTGTCCTGTTACATATGTACGTGTATTGTTCGGATTAATCCAGACCAGTCCTGAATTCCAGGT